TATCAGCCTAGTGCCATAGACGTTACATTGTCTATTCTGGATTTACAAATTTAACAATATCTTACAGCAATGATGGGACAGAATTTGGAGGATCAATTTATCAAAAAGTATGTGAAGATCTTGACACTTCAGTAAACCTTGCTTGGACATCAGGTACCAACAGCACTCGCTTTGGGATTGCAGCCAAATATCAGTTGGATCCCACTGCTTCCATTTCTGTGAGTACTACTGTGGGCTTAGAATGGGGTGGGGTCTTTGGTTGTGGGAATTCCATCTTTGGGTATATTGTGCTGAAAATTTGAACTGTGGTTCACACAATCCCTAGCTGACTCACAGGTTGGAATTAGAATTTGTAATGCTGCATGCATTTTTTGTGGAGGCAGTGTTAGAAGTTTGATATCCAGGTCATAGGAGTTTAACTCAAAAGCTGCTCAGTTTAGTGTAGATGATAACCCTGAGCTCCAAGCTGGTCTAAGCCCAGGGAAGCCACTGTTTCGGGGCCCCAGGCCAGGAGTAATAGTATTTTAATTGTTACTTTGTCTTTCTGTGTGGAATGATAGTACTTTGTTTACTTTGACTTTGTCTTTAGGGTTTACGAAATACCTTTTAGATTTGATCTTAGGGGTCAGTGGTGCAAATGGCATTTTGCAGGGGGAGATACCAAAGCTTTGAAGAAAAAGGACTTCGATCACTGCTAGGGAAGGAGAGTGGGAAGAAGGGCTTGCGTGTCTTTTGATTTCCCTCCTGTCTAGGGTGACCAGCTAGCTCAACCTGCTTTGCCTGGGACTATTCCAGCCTTAGTATTAAAAGTCCTGCACCCCAAGGACTCCCTCCTGCCGTGGTGGATGACCACTCTGCTCCTGTCCTTGGGCTTTTTTGCTACTTCCTCCTTCAGTCATAGTGGGTTTGGGGCAGGAGGGAGTGCAGTGTCTGTAGAGGCGCTGGCTCTGGTTTCAGCAGCTGTTCCTGTGTGTCAGGTCAGGCACTGCCTGGTACTGTATGTACTAGGAATGAAAGAAAGTTAAACCTTTCTGTTACATAAAGTGGTAATTCATTCCTGAGAGCAATGTTTTTTGAAAATTTGGGCAGTTAAGCTTTAGCCCCATTCTTATTTTATGTTAGCAGCTGTCATCAGAGAGCATGAGAAGCATCCAGAAGGCTTTTCCCATTGGCAAGGCAGTGATTTCATTTATTTTTCCTTTCTCTGTTTCTCGTTGCACTGTAACAGTGAAAACCTTAGGATTCACACAGTACACTACTCCCTGGTAGCTATGTTGCTCTTCTCTTCAAATGTATGTCTGTGGCAGCAACACGGATTTAATGTGAGCCAGTGTAGTGCTCTCATAGTGTAAAATGGGAAGGCAGCTTTGGATCTGTGTGCCATTGAGTGACTTCTGGGGACTCGTTTGGAAATGTATCTAGCATTTCCTACCCAAGTATTCTGCTCTGCCCCCAATTAAGCATCACCCTGAAGTATTGCTTAATGTCCCATCACAGTTTGGTAGTTTACTTCTATTCTAACAGGAGAAACTTGTATCCAGTTGTCTGAGGCTCTTAATTTGTTGGGCACAAGGTGGTCACTAGTGGGGCATTTCTTCTTAGACTAATAGCTCACTTGGTTATTGGTGGCTTCTGAAGACTTGGCTATCCTGCCATGTGAACGCAAGTGCTGTTTATATGACTTCTGCCTGTAGTTACATATTTCTCTCTCTGGACTGTTTCGATGTTACACATTATAAGAGTGAAGACATCAAATAATTTCCAAATCTGTTTTGATCCCAGAGGCTGTCACCTTTTTACTACCAAGAACATTGTGTCCTACTGACAGTATGACTTGGAGTTTAATGGATAAGAATTAAGTGGCACCTAGCTTTTGTTTGGCTTAGTAACAGTGTTAAATTTTATTTATTTTACTTCTTAAATGTTATGAAATCTTTATCTTATACACGTCTTTTTTAAATTTAAATTCAGTTAGCCAGTATATAGTACATCATTAGTTTTTGATGTAGTGTTCATTGATTTATTAGTTGTGTATAACACCCAGTACTAATCACAGCACGTACCCTCCTTAATGCCCATTATCCAGTTACCCCATCCCTCCTCCCCTTCTGCAACCCTCAGTTTGTTTCCCAGAGTCAAGAGTCTCTCATGGTTTGCCTAAATTATATTATTTCACATGTGAATAAAAAAGCGGAACACTTCATAATTGTATAATAGGGAAACTAGGGGTTTTGTCTCTCAATTCAAAAAAATTTTTACAGTTGTTTTTGCATTTTATTTTAGGCAAAAGTCAACAACTCTAGTTTAATTGGAGTGGGCTACACTCAGACTCTGAGGCCTGGTAAGTATTCTTGATAAGTAGGATTGGTGGTTTTGTTGTTGTTGTTGTGTTTTTTAAGTAGGATTGGTGTTTTAAAAATTATTTTTTATTTCTCAGATTCTTTATAAACCCTTCAAAGAGTACGATGAACACGTTTACCTTTTGCCAGTTTTATTTATTTATTTATTTTATTTTGCTGGGCTGTTTGGAAGTTGCACCTATCCTGACACTTCCCTAAATGCTTCAGCATGTGTCTATTCAGAAATGAGACCGTTCTGGTCTGCATAACCATAATACCATTATCACACCTAAGAAATTTAATAGTCCATATTATTTAATTTCCATTCTGTAGTCACTTTCCTCATTTGTACCTGAAATGCCTTCTAGTATTATTTATTTCTCTAATCAAGGTTCACTCATTGCTTTCATTGTTTGGTCTCTGTAGTCTCATTTACTTTATGTAGTATTTTGAGCCTTATATTTTCTAGAGCAGTACTTATCAGACTTCAGTGTGCATGAGTCACCTGGGGACTCTTGCTAAAATGTACATTCTGATCCAATAGATCTGGAGTGAAGGGTTCTGTCTTTCTAACAAGCTCTTAGGTGATGCGAGTATCACTGGTTCTTGCCACCATTTGAATAGCAAGTTCTAAAGCACTTGGAACTTTTACTCTGTTCAAATAGGGATATTCCCCCAGACTTTCTGTTTTGGCCTTTTTGAAAGCTCAAGAAAAGACAAGTACGAAGAACACCTGTATACCCTTCCCCACATTCACTAATATCTACCACATTTGTTTTTTCCACGTCTGCATACATAATCCCTTTTTCCCACAGTCCCTTTTCATTTATTTAAATGTCTGTTTTGCAGACATGCAGACACATCTACCCAGCATGCATATCCCGAGTAAGACATTTTTCTTCATAACTACAATACCACTGTCACAGCTAAGGAAATTACCATTAGTTGAGCAGTACAAATATGTAGTCTGTATTCAGTTTCCCCCACTTGTCTCTTTATTGTAGTTGTCCTGGTCCACTTATGATTGTCGTTTAGTGTCTAATAGTCTGGATAGTGTTTTGAATGTTCCTGTATTTTCTAGAACACTTTTTGAACTTATTTTTAATGATCTGTGACTTCACAGATTCCTTAACCTAGGATGGGACCACCTGAATTCTGTCTGGTATCTCCAGGACTCCCAAGTGCCCTCTGGTGGTTGGCAATAATAGGTCATCTGGCAGGCTGAGGGAGGGACAGGCAGGCTCTGGGGTGATTATTAAAGACTGCAGACTCTTGAGGTGTTTCAGGCAAATCATGGTTGCCTGCCTTTTTTTACAGGTGTCAAGCTTACACTGTCTGCTCTGGTAGACGGGAAGAGCATCAATGCTGGAGGCCACAAACTTGGGCTTGCCCTTGAGTTGGAAGCTTAATCCAGCTGAAAGAAACCTCTGGGAATGGATATCAGAAGATTTGGCCTTAATATATTTCCAGTGTGACCAGCAGGCTCCCCCCCCAAGAAGGTGATCAAATCAAAGGATGATCTAAACAAGAGCTGTATTTTAAATATTTAGACAGTTCCTTGTTAGCTGGTTTCTAGTTGAATTGGTTATCTATCTAGTTACCAGTGCTGCAGTCGTGCAGTCACCTATACATTATTTAAATGTATTTAACTGTTAAATGCGCTACCCACCAATAATGAAATAGACCTTTATGAAAACTGTGCAATTGTGTGCATGTTTATTTTTATGTTCCTATTAACATTGAAAATTGCCATTGAACAAAATGGATCAGTGGAAGTTTTAAGATGAGGTTAAAAAATTTTTGTTAAATCCAGCCCATCATTAGAATTACTTTTGGTATCCCCAAACATTACAGATTATGAATAAAAACAAGTATACATAATTAATGACTCCCAAGTATTTGCAGAGTTTAAACATTTGCCAGGGTCAGATCTCCCTTGTATGTCACTAGTACCTTATTTTTCTGGTGAGCATTTTGCTTTTTACCTAAATCTGTGCCATAAAGTCCTCTGTGTCCCTAAAGTAACTCCACAAACTTTTTGGACTACAATAAAATAAGAGGATATATGCCTTTATACCTTCAGTTTGTAAGTTTGTCCAGAATTCCATTGGATCATTGAAGAGGTGGTGCTGAAGGCTGTATACACACGCCATACCCCTGTGAGCTATTGCTGTGGGAAGTGAACTAGGCCCTAGGTGGGATGGGACGAGGTGTAGGCAAATGGAGTGAGGTGTCAGTAACCAGAGGGACTTGAGAAGGGAGTATATGGGCCTCCGTGAGAGGTCATGAATCATCTCTTTCTAGGCAGACACTGAAAGGGTTGGGCCTAAGTGGGAGACCAGAAGCAGTGCCTTCAGGCTTTGTGGCCATTGGCCTTCATCTGCACTGGGGCTGAATGACAGAAATTAATAGGTGATTCTGGTTGGAAAAGTAGGAAACAGCAAGTGTTTTTGATGGGAGAAGATAGTTTGAAGGGTGTGATCAGAGGTTAGAGAAGGGAGAGGATAGAGAAGGGAGTTCAACATATTTATACTATTAGACCTGAGGTACCATTTGAAGCCTAAGAGGGAACAGGTAAGAAAATGTACTTTGAGACTCATTACCCAAAAAAGTGATACATGCTGAAAATTTCCAGGTCAGAAAGAATCTGATGAGAGATTAGAAGCTCAAGTAAGCTTTCCACTGTGGGGTGATAAAGAGGCTCCTCCTGATCTATGTATGTGCTAAGGGACTGCCAAGAATGGCCTGTGTGAATAAGACACACGTGATTTAATGGCAGACAGTTGGAATTTGAGCCAGTTTGCTTGAGTCAGGATCTTTTGCTAGGTCAAACAGTTTTCCTGTTTGATGTCTGCAAGTTAGGTGTGAAAGCACGTCTGCTTTTGGGATTCTCAAGAGAGGTGTGAAGTAGATGAGACATCTCTGAAACTCCACCTGGTGGGGAGGAACTGGTCATAGGCCTGTGACTTCTGAAGCCCCCTGGATGACCCACTGCCCCAGAGCTAACAGGTGGCCTTCCCTCAGCTGTGGCTGGATTTTACCGCGTCCAGTACTCAGGATTGGGGTGTGGCACAAGTGAGTTAGCAGTTGGTCAGAGACACATTTAAGAGTAAAGTAGACGTATTTACCCAGGTGCATCCTAATTAACGTTTTTAGCATGCGGGAGAGAGAAGGTTCCTGGGGCCCTGAGGGTTGCATAAAATGCCAGGTTTGTCCCAGGAGGTGTAGGATTATGGAAGTTGCCAGCTATGGGCCCCTGTGGCCTTGTTTCTAATAGTCTCCAGCTTTATAGCACCCAGGCCTAATCCAGTGGTGGCAAAACCTAATTGTATTCTAGGCTGATGCAGTTAGTCGAACACTTCATATTTGTACCTGATACTCATCTGTGTTGGTGTGGAGATAGGATCTTCCTGTGGGATTGGGATTAGGGAGGTCTAGATGGAGAGAAGTGAAGCACCTGGCTCCCTGGCCACCACCTCTTGTAGATGTTGGTGTGGGAAAGCCTAACTATATCCATCTTCCTGTGGGGAACTTTTTAAAAAAACTGCCATACTGATAGTCTGCTCCCTCTAGGCCTGTTTACTTCACACCTTTCTGGCCAGTGATCCCCCCCAGGCCCTCACCTTCCTCCAGGACTTCAGGGGGAGGACAGGTATATGCTCCAACCTTGAGGTCCTCAGGTTTAAGTCAAGTGGCCTGGTTCTCAGAGGTGATGTCCACTGAGCAGAGCCTCCACTGCAGAGGTGAGGTCGAGCTGACAGTTCTGTGAAAACATGGGCAAATAGAACTGGCATAACCTATGAAAGCGCCCAGTGACAAACCTGGTCTGCTCTAAGGCGGTTTCCTTGTTCCTTGTCGGACCCCAGATAGGGTTTCCAGTCAGTTCCAGCTGCACCAAACAAGACCGTTCACTGGCCCCTCCTAGGAAGTGAAGTAGGAGGGAGACCAATGGGTGGGGGTTCTACCCAGCTGCCCGCCCTCAGATCCTGTCGAGTGGGGGCAAACCTGAGGAGCTGGGGTCCTGTATGTGGCCAGGTCAATCAAAACTTTATTTCCTGCTACCAGTCAGCTGGAGGCTCCTACTCAGGCTATAGACCTGGTGCCAGGTGGCCCTCAGGACTGTGCCAGGGAGGGGATGATGTCTATGACCTCAAGGCCCCCATTTGCTTTAGGACCTGCCAGTGCTGGACTTTCCCTCCCTATCCCACTTTTGCGCCACATACAGAGGCTCAAAAGATCGTGTCCCAGGCCCCACTTTATTGTCGAATTTAAAACTCAGGGTTGATGTCTGGGGTTCCCAGGTCCCCTTCCTTGAGGCCACCCGCTAGGGGCCGGCCCTAGATCTTGAAGGCTAAGGTGAGGCCGTCGCCCAGAGGCAGGAGGCTGATGTGGACCCTGGCGTCCCGCAGGATGCGCTCGTTCAGGTTTCGCACGCACTGGGCCTCGGTGTCCCCTGGTTGAGGCTGTAACACCTCTCCGCGCCACAGGACCTGAGGGGGGGCGGGGCATCACGGGGGCGGGGTCAGGGCCGAGGGGCACGGTGCCTAAGGGAGAGGCGGGGCGAGGGAGCGGCTTTCATGCGTGCACTGGGCGGGGCTTTGCGGCATGGGGGCGGGGTACGGGGAGGAGCCAAGAGAAAAGACAGGAGACGCAGCCCGGGAGGGTTCGTTCTTCCCCTTACACTGAGGACCGCGAGGATGCCTCCGGGGCGCAGCAGCTGCAGGCACCGCTCATAGTAGGCGGTGCAGTTCTCCTTGTCCGCGTCCACCACGGCCATGTCGAAGGTGCCGGCCTCGCCCGCGACCAGGAGTTCGTCTTGCGGGGGAGGGGGGGGCAAATGCGGCTGAGTCCGCAGCCCCAGCGGTCAGAAGCCCCTGCCCAGGCCTGCCCAGGCGCTGTGACTATTCAGGGACTTTGGCCTGGAGGGGCGCCCTGCCACCCAGCATGTGGCCGCATGGCAGCGGCGAGGCCAGGAGGCAGGGGGCTGTCACTGCCCCAAGCCCGCCCAGCGGATCTGGTCACTAGCTCACGCCCAGTGGCTCCACTTGGAAAATGGTGCCAAGGCCCCTTCCACTCCGTTGCTCACCCAGGGTCTCCAGGGCGGGCTTCAACCGAAGGTCGATCTTGTGCTCCTCCTCAGCCTGCGGAAGGAGTGGGGTCAGAGCCAGCAAGTCCCTTCTCCTGGAGCTGGGAGTGGCCAGCCTCCAAGGGCCTGATGAGGGCCTCAAATGTGTGGGACACTCACCTGCCTCCACAGGGGCCGCCCCAGCTCCGGGGGCCCCGGGTTCACCTCACAGGTCACCACGCGCCCGGCCGGGGGCAGCGCCAAGGCCAACGCTAGGGCTGAGTAGCCTGTGAAAGTACCTGGGGGCAAGGGACATGGACAGGCTCAGGCCAGAGTAGGGGGACATCCCGGTGACTTCGGCCCCCAGTGATCCCGGCCGTGCGCCCTACCCAGGTCCAGAGCCTTCTTGGCCTTGATGAGCCGCGCCAGGTTGGCCAGAAGCTGGGCCTGCTCACGGGTCATCATGGAATCTCCCTGGGGCTGCTCCAGGGTCAGCTGTGGGGAGAGGGTCGCGCCAGCACTGCCAGTCACCCAGCTCCTCCCCGGAGCTCCATAACCCCCTCCAGGTGCGCGGCCGTGGGCGTGGTCCCGGGACGGGCCCTCAGGGAACGCCCACCGCGCCCAGCCGGCTGTGTCCCGGAAGCCCCAAGAGCGCCATGGCCCAGCCCAAGGTCACACAACCACGTGGGACCCGCTGGGTCCGAGGTGGGCGCCTGTTCCCGCCCCTGGCCCTGCTGACCAGCCGCAGGCTCCGCAGCGCCGGGTGCTCCCGCATGGAGCGGCTCAGCAGATACTGCCACAGGGGGCTGTCTTCAGGGGGCAGCAGGCGCTTCTCTCGCCGGGATCGCCAGGGATGGAACCGGCTCCCTGCCAGGGAGGAGTCCTGGGTCAGGGCCTGGGGCTCTGGGGCGCCAGGGCTGAGCTTCAGCCGCAGCCAGCCTCGCGGAGTCACGGGCTCGGCTCCCGCACCTGCCCCGCCTGCGGGGGCTCTGCGGGTGGGTTCCGCGGGCCCCGCCCTACTCACCCAGGAAGAGGCCGGTGGCCAAGGCGGCGCCCAGCGCGGCCGAGCCCAGGGCCAGCGCGGCGGGCACAGAGAGCCGGGGTGCGGGATGGATCATGGTGCGACCAGGAGGCAGCCACGTACGGGTCACTTGGCTGGGCCTCCTGGGCCCACACTGGGATCCGCCTGCCCTCCAGGCTCCGCCCTGTCCCGGCACTGCCCGCGGAGCTGCGGTCTCGAACGCCATCTGGCGACCGCACAGCTTTACTGCAAGTCCCCCTAGAGCGAGCCGGGCGCCATCTGGTGGCTGCACTGGGAACTGCACCCAGAGAGGGGCGCAAGCCCAGCATGCGGTGTCTGGGTTTTTCTTGCCGGCCCCTCAGGTCTGCCGTCCTGGGTCAGGGAGGAAGAATGTGATGCCCCCTCCTGGGTGTATGCTTCTTATTGCTCCTGTTTTTGCTGGGGCCCTGCGGCATATGTGGGTGGGTGGGCCCTCGGTGTAACAGGGTAGTAATGAGTACAACGTGATAGAAATGACAGGAGCTCTGAGAGGGACTGAGAGAATTAGGGGAGGCTTTTTGGGGGAGGTGAGTAAGGGTATCCGGTTGAAGGAGTGAAGGACGACCTGGTTTGGGGACAAAACCAGAGGTGGGGTTTGGGAGTCCTGAGACAGGTCTCGTTGATGGGGCTCTGAGACAAGATTCTTAGAAAACTTCCCTTTGGCGCCAGACATGGGTGTGAGCTCTTGGGGCCATCATTCTCAGCCTGTTTCCTTTGTGGAAAACAGGAACCACAGTCTTACCGCAAACGGCACCAGATCACACAACCTGGCACACAGTAGGTGCTCAGTAAATGGCAGCTGTTGGGGTGGAGATATTTTGGGGAGGAAAGTGGTGGAAGGGCAGCTGAGGTCGGCTCGCAGTGCTGTTCTGCAGGGACACGATCCAGTGAGCACTGATGGAGCGCCTTCTGTGACTCAAAGTGGGGAAGGGGAAAGAAGCTGTGCTGGCGCGTATTCTTAGGGAAGCTACATTCGGGGAACACAGCACACACAAAAATGGGGGGCAACTCCACTTTCACCATTTCCTCTTCTGCAAAACGGGGTTATTAAGAATCCCCCCACCCCCCCGCAGGGGATGAAATGAGAAAATCCCGGTGAAGGACTTAACACAGGGCCGGCCCTGAGTGGGCCCTACCTGTTACATTTAAAAGGAGTTAAAGTCCAAAGGGCAGACGGTCATCCGACTGCGGCTCAAGGTCACCTCCCCGGGCGTGCCTGCTCCCACAGCCCATTGAATGTCCAGACCAGAGCTGCACCGGGGCTGCCCAGGGGAGGCTCAGACTCCGAGGCCCGGAGGCAGGTTTATCGAGGTTTGGGGGTGGTGCGTGCGGCCGCGGCGTGGCTGAGGCTGAGGATCGGAGCGAGCTGGACACAAACTCGGAGCACAGCGCTGGGAAGCCGCGCAGGAGGAGATCCAGTTGCGGTGGAGGCTCCGGGAGCCGACGACCGGACCTCGAGGGAGACACAGGGGCGGGACTGACCCGGGGCGCGGGGTGGAGCCGGCTGCGCGGGGGCCTGGCTGGGGTGCTGCCGGGTGGGCCCTCGGCCGCGGTCCCGGTTCCCCGCGGTCCGGCCGGCGCCCTGCTTCGAGGGGAAGCGCCTTCCCCCTTACCGGGTGGCCCAGTACCTGTTTCTCTGACCTAGGAGACTCATTGCCCAGAGTAAGGGCTGAGGCTGCTGGTCTCTCCCAGCGCTGAGCACACAGCAAATGCTAAATAATTGCTCTCGGAATAGTATGTTGGATCTTCGTGGGCTCCTAGCTACCTGAGCTGCCAGTCCGGTCAGCACAGTAACCCGAGGGGCCATCTACTGAGCACCCGGCATTCCACATCCAGCCTGCCTGTGAGGCGGGGATATGATTCCCATTTTCCAGAGGAGGAAAGCGGAGCTCACAGAGGCCTCCTCTCCACGCGGACTCCACGCACCGGGACCTCGCAGGAAGCGCTTTCCTGGCTGCTCTGCTGGGCTCCCTCCACCAGGCCGGCGGGCATGTGGGCCCTGGGCTCAGCCTGGGCCGCAGACCAGCACTTTCTCCCCTGTCTGGGGGGCCGGATTGGGGCAGGCCCCCAGCTCACACCCGAACCTCCCTTCCAGAGAACCGGCTTCAGGCGAGAGGCCTGGAGAGGGGGTGGGGGGCGGAGCGGGCACGGAGGGGAGGCATGTCACCATATATCCCCGTCAGATTAAAAAACTAATTTGAAAAGATTAATGTATTCCATTCTTGTTACGCCGGCTCTGATACCTCTGGGCCCGCGGCCGCTCTGCCTCCTGATTATTGAATTTTTATGGCCTGGTAATTAATTGCAGATTCCCTGTTTTGTTCTATTTCTTTTTCTCTGACATTTTAATTTCAACAAAAAGCAGTGGTCTCCATGCAGGTTCTCTCTGGAGATCCTAATGGTCTATAAAACAGAATGACTTATAGACGTGGCACCCACTTCAGTTGGCGAGCGATTGTTTGAAACCTTGCTGATCACGCAAAATTTAATTTTTCCACCTCCCTCCCCCGTTTGCTGCTCATTTCTTGTCTCTTGTGCTGTGGCACCAGTGTCTCGGCTCACAATGAAGGGGGCCGAGTGTCGCCCCAAGATCCTACAGCGCCTTTTCCAGGAGGCTGAGAATAGGGTGGGTCCTACTTGTTTTCCTCAGAGGTGCCCTTGTGGTTGGGGGAGGGGAGGGCCCTGTGGACGTGGGCAGGTGCCCCCAGGGGCAGAAAGGGCTGGGGAGGGAGAGACCGTGTCTACCTCTCTCAGTTGCCTTTTTGGTCAAACGTAGGTCAAATGCCCCACGAGGCACCAAGGAACCCTCGGGCTCAGGAGGGCAGAGACAATGGGAGCCCCTTCATGCCTTTAGGTCCACGCCAGGAAGGGAGGCCTGTGACCCCTGACAAATTCTTAGCCAAACCAGGCCACTGGAACCCGCTGGCCACAAAAACAGGCCCGGAAGAGGCCCCTGAATTTTCTATCCCGGTACCCCTAACTTCTGCTTCTCCTCCCTGCTAACATCGTGCAGGCCGTGTCTTCTCCCCCAGGGGCCCCCAGAACCGTGCAGGGCAGGGGCAGAAGAGTACGGTCATGGAGTCAATCAGGGATGAGAATGGGGAGGTGTTCACGGGCTGCCCAGGTTGGTGAGGGGAGGCAGTAGGGGGTAGTGGGGTCTGTGGTGCTCCAAAGCTCACGCCCCATCCTAACGCATGGCAGCCACTTGGTTGTAGCCTGTGCCGCCAGATGGGAAGATGAGGTGTGGCCAGAGCTTCCGATTTTTCAAGAAAGGCTGAAATCTGGTGGGTAATGTGAAACTTCACAATTTTAAACATTCAGATTAGACTTTTTTTTCTTTCTTTTTTCTTTTTTTAGCACTGCATCAGCCAAACTGAACAGCTCTTTGATCTCAGTGTCTGATCTGGCGCAAGGGACCACTGTATCCTCTGACTGGGAGCACGGATCAGGGAAGTTAAGACATAGAAGTGGAGTCTGTTGGGGCTGATGCTTCTGCCCTGCCCCCACCTCAGGAATCCTCTTCCCACCTTTGGGCCCTCAGTGGGATCTCCCGGAGGCACCTTTGACCCTCCTTTGACCCTCTCTCCAGGTCTTGCCTTCGTAGGCCTCTCCACACAGAAGCTTGCAGCCCGAAGTCTGACCACATCCGGGCGAGGTTTGCCAAGCTCCCCAGAGAGGATGGGACCTGTTAAGCTAAGCCTTCGGGGTGAGGGGCAGTGCCCTGACTCCAAGGGCTCCGGGGGGTGTTTCAGGCCAACCAGGTGGCTGAGACAGACCATGAGTTAGGGGCTTCTGGGGCTCCTCAGGCTGGAGAGGACCAAGAGCCATGGCCTGCTCCTGCCTGGTGCTGGCTATGCCCGCCAGTCTGCGGGGGGCAACAGAGTGGAGTGCACTGTTGGTAACAACGTGGATTCTGTTGTTTGCAACAAAGTGAAATCTGCTGTTTGTCACAGAGCAGCTTATAAGGTTCACAGTTAAGAGTCCTGCCTGGTAGCCACTCCTCTGTGGGACTGATTCTCCCACCTCCAGTGGACCCTGTTAACGGGCTACCTGGTCTCCCTTGGAGCTATTCTGCTTCCTTCTGCCTTGCCAACAGGAGCCTGATGTTGTTCCAGCAATGTGCCCAACTTTGGGGGATGAACTGTGATTAGTCTCAGAACTGTGATTAGTCCCAGACTGTCATGACCAACACAGTCCTTTTTTGAAGATACCTGCTTTCTCACCCTCACCTGCCGTGAATTTCTGGCCAGGGATAAAGGGGTGCGTCTCAGGCCTTTTTTCTCCCTTTTCTCATTTAGCTGCTTCTTACCTTGAATGGGGTTGTGTAAAGATGAAATGCTTGGAACCATAGCAGCCCTCTTGTGATTGTGAGGCAATAACGTTAAGGTTTAAAAAATCCAAACAAACAGTAAGTTTGGCAAGAGGAAAAGATGGGATGTTGGTCCTTGAAGACATTATCTAGCCACTGAACCAACACCACCGTTTCCCTCCAGACTCCTTGTTACAGGAGAAAATGGAACCCTTTGTATTTAAGCCATGATTAGGTGTATATTCTTTTACTTAAAGCTCAAAAGCATTCCTGATACAGACCTCCAAACAGTGTGGCCTGTACCCACAGGAGTGGTTTAGAGTTGGTACTGAGATAACCCTGTTTGCTTTTTCTTCGTCTAGAGTGTCAGATTCCCCACTGTACTGGAAATCATGCCGTCCGAAAGTGAGGCCTCATTTTCCACGGGGGTGAGCTTTCTCATAGGGGATGACCCATCCCCCCATGTGGCAGGCCCAGTCCCTCCCCCTCCTGATGAGTACAAGTACCAGCACTGGCCACACTCCTTCTCCAACCTCCCTTCATCCCCCTGCAGGCCTGTGGCATCTCACCAAGACCTCCCAATCCCTGGTGAAGTAGGCATGATCACCCATGCCCTATAGGTGACTCTTAGAGGAACTGACGCATCCAAGGTCTCCCAGCCCACAACCTGGGGGACTCCCCACTCCAGGGGGAGTCTCTATATTTGCCTCCGGGGCAGGGGCACAGCAGCTTCTGGGACAGTGGATGATGACCACACAGGGTGGGAGATTTTGTGCAGTGAGCTGGGGATGGGGTTGGGGAAGCCCGTGTCTTCCCGGCGTAATAGGTTTCGGCAGCAGAAGT